CCCCCCCCCCCACCCAGACCCACACACACTCACTGAGCACTTGCTGTGCCGGCCAAGGCTCAGGAGCTCATGGCTTGCATGTAACTTGCCCGTTTTACAGGTGGGGAAACAGTCGAATGGCCCAGAGGTCCCCCATTCTCTCTTCTTCCCCTCCCCCTGGGGCACGCATCCCAAGGGGCAGACAGAGTCCTGGCCTGGTCCCGCCTCAGTGTCCCCATTTCACTGGCTGGCTTCAGTGGACACTCCCCCAGAATCAGCAGCGTCCAGACAGACAGATGGACGTGTGGCCCGACACACTGCCAGTGAGACGGGTGCGAGGGCAGAGCCGCCGAGTAGGTGGCTGTGGGCCGTGGTTGGGCAGGGGCTCCAGGGTCACCCCGCCTGCCACCCTTTCTGCCCCCTCCCCAGCTGGGGAGGCCGTTGGGGCGGTCCCACACCTGGGCTGCTGTCCTCACATCCTCCTTGCATCTTTGGGGCCACAGGGAGCCTGGGGTCAGAAGCACAGTCCGCGGAGCATGCAGGGGCTGGGCCCAGGGGTCCTGACTCCAAGAGGCATCTCTCAGACGCCCTGCACCCCTTCCCTCTCAGGGTCCCTGCGGCCCCAGCAAGGCAGAATGTGGCCTGCATGTCTAGGGACTGGGGTGGGCCCCACTCAGGTGGGTGCTGGGGGCCACAGAGCCGTGTGCCCTCCTGAGACCCACAGAAACATCTCTGCCACCTTACCCATTACAGATTCACTTTGCCTTCTCAGGCAGGGGCTCTTTCCTGGGGTGATTCTGCCCCAGGGGACCCCTGGGCAATGTCTGTGGTTATCACGGGGGTCGGGGGGACTCCTGGCATCGAGGGGGTGGGGTTCAGGGATTCTGTTCCACCCCCACAGCGTCCAGGACGCCCCCACAGAGAAGACTCCAGGGGCTGCAGGGCCCAGAGGGAGAAGCCAGGAAAGAAGGAGATATTAGGGCTTATTTATAAATATTCATTATTATGAAAAGCACAAACGTACAGAAACAGAGAGAGAAGAGCTCACCAAACTTGGGGACCAAAAAAATGCTTTGTAACGTTTCATTTTGAAATGGTTTCAAGCTCACAGAAGTCCCCAGAATTCCCAGGTTTGCCACCCCCAGCTTCCCTGGAAACGCGGCCGGAGTGAAGGCTGGTTCCGATCGGCTCCTTGTGGATCTCCTGCAGCTCGGGCACCGTTCCCTGTCTGGTCCTGGTGTCTCCTCCGCGCGGGACGGCCCACAGCCTTTCCTGTCCCTCGTGATGCGTCAGGAGTCCCATGGACGGGTGGCCGCGTCCTCCCGGGCACCACCTCCCCGCCCCGGGCGACCATCAACTTACTACTGCTGACGGTACTGACCTGGGGCTTTCCCCTCGGAACGCATGCAGCCTGTTTCTGGAATGTTCGCCCCCGGGTCTGCTGCCCACAGCAAGCAGGGCTGGTTCCCCTCCTCCCGTCCTCCTGCAGACATTGGCTGAACCCTTACATCAGTCCAGCCACCTCGGGGCGCCCCCGTCACCAGTACGCGCCCCGTGTGCCCCCGGGCCCGCCGGTGCCGGCTGCGGCGAGCCGCCTGGGTCCTCCACCCCCACCCGTGAAGTGGGCAGGGATGGGCTGGTTGTTTGCAAAGTGCTCCGCCCACGGGGAGGGTGAGGGAAGCGGGGGCGCTGCCTGTCACCGTCACCACCACCGACACCTGTCGCCATCACTGTCACCACCTGTCACCGTCACCACCACCCGTCACTGCCACTTATCACTATCATCACCACCCCCACCGTCCCCTCCCTTCCCGGCAGGTCACTCGACCCCTCCTCGTTCCCAGGCTCTTCTGGGAGTAGACTTGCACCTGCTGCCTGGGTTCAAATTCTGCTGGGCTTTGTGATTCTGGGCTGGAAATACCGCCTCTTGAGCCTCAGTTTCCCCACCTGCTAGGTGGGAACGATGAGAACAGCCCTCCCCCACAGGGCTTCAATTACCCAATACAAACAGGAGTGTAACAGGGATGAGGGACAAACACAACGTGTCCGCCGCGCACGCGCACGTCCCTCTGGTGCAGCCACCGTGCACGCGCACGCGCACTGATGACCGTGTCCCCGAGCACGCGCACGTCCCTCGGCCGCGAGCAGGAGCGAGGCGCCCGTCCCCGCCGCCCCGCGGACGGACCCCGGACACGCGACGACGCTCAGGGAGGGAACCCGACACGAGAGGCCCCGCGGGGTGTGAGTCCGCGTGCGCGAAACGTCCAGAACGGGCTCATCCACGGACGGGAAGGGGGCTCGCGGGGGCAGGGGGCTGCGGGGGGTTTGCTGGGGGAGGTGATGGCTGATGGGGCTGGCGCAGGGGGCTGCTGGTGGAGATGGGGCTTCCTTTTGGCGGGGGTGGTGGAATGTTGTGGAATCAGAGGTGGTGGTTGCACAACTTTGTGAATGTACCATATGCCACGGAATCGTTAAATGGATCAGCTCTACGGAACGTGAAGTGCAATTAAATAAAACAAGAAAAGAAAAAAAAAAAGACAGAGACCTGCCGGAAAGCGCGCGGGCCCTGGCCCTCATGACCCCCTGCAAGTGCTCTGCTCTGGGTGTGCAGCACACGGAGACCTGGGGGGGGCAGGCAGGCGACCGCAGGGCCAGGGGCTGCCTGGAGGCGGAGGCGTGGTGTGAGGCGGTGTGGAGCCCTGGGGGCTCCTCCAAGGGGCTGGGCTGGGCTGGGCGGGCAGAGGGGAAGTGGGGCCTGGAAGCTGCGGCCTCGGCCCCTCCGGCTCCAGCTGTGGGTGACGCAACAGGCAACGGCCGAGAGCTGGGCCGGGTGGCCGGTGGGGGCCGGCGGGACCCGAGCGAAGGCCCCGGCGTCCAGGGAAAGTGCGGGAGGCTCGGCCTGTAGTGTCTCTGTGTCCGTCTTCCCTCCTGAGTGTGTCCGTGTGGGGCCCCACCCCCTCAGCCTCAGTTCCCCTTCTGAACAACGAGCGGGCAGCGAATGACCTCTTTTGGGTCCAGGCGGGGCGCCTGAACCAATCTCGGTTCATGCACCCCGACATTCCTTTCTGGGCCTCAGCCTCTCCATCTGCCAAGTGGGTTAATGGCAACTCGACTAACCTTGGTGGCCAGTCTGGGTGAGCACTGGCGGCTTCTGGGGGTGCTGGGCGGCATTGGGACACCCGGGGTCAGGGCTGGGGGCCGGGAGACCGCTCCGGGCAGAGGGCTGGCCCCTGCGGGCCCCTCTCCTCACGATCCAGTTGGAGAATAAGCACGGAGCCCCCACGCAGCTGCTGGGAGAGGGCAGAGCCCCGGGGCTTGAGGCCCGTGTTTGCCTCGGACCCCAGGTGATCTCCGGTGACCTCAGGTCGGCAGCGCTGACAGTTGTCTGGACACAGCATCACCCAAATCCTGGCCCCGCCGGGTGCACGCCGGGGCATTGCTGCTCTTTACTCTTCATTTTTAGATTTTACTTCCACCCTCGTAAGGTTCAACGGTCTAAAAAATGTGTAAACGGTCCCTGCTGGAAAGATGGGGGTCACTGTGCAATCCGCGCCCCTCTGCCCACCTCACCCCGCATGTTCGCGGGCTTCCTGGTTGGTGCTTCGAGCAGCCGGCGACAGGTGCCCCCCCCGCCACACACACTGCTCTCCGCTGTCCCATGAAGACCCCTCGGGGCAGTGACCCGAGGACTCTGTACCTTCCACACGGCCGTGACTCCCCTGGTGGCCTCCTGCTGGGAAAGTGGATTGTTTGCAGCGGGAAGATGCCTCGTCGCCCGCCGAGGGGGACGCCCGCACTGTTCTCAGCAGCTTTGTGTCTGTGTCCTCGTCAAAAGACAGGGTCTCCGGGGAGGTTGCTCAGTCTCTCGTGCAAACCAGTGAGGGTGAGGGTGTCCCCACATCGTCAAGAGACTTTTGTGTTTCTCTGCTCTGAACGGTCTGCTTACAGCCTCTA